AGGCTCATGTCTCACCAACTCACCCAAGCCAGGCTCGGCCCGGGAAGCTGCCGTGCCTCGGCGGCCTCCGGAGCCACAGAGCCAGGGCGGCGGCTTGACAGAAAGCCCTGGTGGCCATGCCGTTGCTATGTGTCACTCTGACTTGCGCTTTTTGTACCGTTTAGTTTGGGCACAAGTCTTGTCATGAAAGCTTGGTCAGTCCCACACAGACTCATTGCCGCCTGCGCCAAAGACTTGCTGAACGTGCTTTACAGGTTACACGCTTTCTCTATCTCACTAAGCTGTGCTGGGAACAGGCCAAGGGACATATAGCTGGTTGAAGCCGGCCCATTTGAACCCCCCTGTTTGCCAGATGTCCAGCGAACAAGACCTCCTTGTGCAAAAAATCAGGCCCACTCAGGCCGACAAATTGGCAGAATGCGTTCAGAGGCCCCACCATTCGATGGCCGAGTTAGTTGGCTCTGGTATGAAGGACCAGGTCACTTGTACAGTGACCGAGAAGAAAAGACGAGACCAAAGGCTGAAAAGCAGGCTGACAGAGATGCGCTCACTCTCCGAGATCTTTTGAAAATGAGAGACCCATTGATCCAGAACATGGAGTTGAGTGTTTTCTCCTTTTCTTCGTCAGCGTTTCGTTAGGGCGCCAGCAAAGTCTTCCAAGCGGCAAAGCGGCGAGTTTGTGTCTTTCATATCCAAAGTTGAAATCCGCTTGGGAGACGCATTGCAAGAGTACAACGCGCAGAGTCCTGAGTGCATTCAGGCAGTACAAGATGCAACCGTGACAGGGCAACAAGACATCAGGAGCCCACGCGGCGCTCCATGTTCGCAGGCCAGCCCCAAGGAGCCGCTATTCCTCTCGTGGCGCCGCAACTGGTGGACGAATCTCTGATCGAGGCTACAAGGCGCACTGCGGCGCAATGCCACATATTCATCACAACCCGCGCAATTCAAGATCCAAGTCCTCGGGCCTCCGAAGGTACCAGATGCGAGGATGCGAGCCTTCTACATCATCGAGCGCGGTGAGTGTCGAGGAGAAGGATGAGCAATCCTTTGACTATGTGCTGGAAGATCACGATGTGTTTTGCTCTGCAAGGGGCGACCAAGAAAAACACAGGGGAAGTGAGGGCGCCGACGAGGCAGCTTTACCCCTTCACAAAGGGCGCATTCAGGCGGAAATGCCGACGCGACGGAACAGACCGCCTCAGTAGCGTATCAGGCAAAGCGGTCACGCGCTCGCTAGTGAGAAAGTCTGCCGAGAACCCAGCGCTTGTCATTGTTGACAGCAGATGCGCTAGATCCATGCGTAGTTGTTGAAGCTGCCGGTGAGCCCTCTTAACCAGCTCACAGATTGCTTCTAATGGTAAACTCTCCTTCGCATACGTTGGAATCTTCAGATTAAGCGGTTAGTGTCCCAAAGAGATAGACTATTATTAGGTAGAAACTGCTAGTGGACGTCATTACCCCAGCTCACGCTATCACTCCTCCACTCGCTCCTGTCCGCTCTCACTCCATGAATCTCTACGTGAGAGCGGTTAAAAAAGATGATGAACAGGACGTCGTTCCCCTCGTGAGCCAATTGTCGACAGGAAATGCTAAAGGCTTGGAAGAGGAACACCGTGAAATCATTTCTCCATTCCCTCTGTACAGTTGACTCTTGACTCGCTTTCCCATCTTTGTCGTGTTTTTCTCCTTGCCATGTAATGCTTTATTATGTTTCTCTTTTCCATTTCTTTCGCCATCGCGGCCAGGCCCTGTCTACAACCAAGACCGAACAGAATGAATGGATGTTGGTCACCTTCTCTTTTATCCATCTATTTCCTGCCAAACATCCACAGTCACTAAATCACACCACCCAATCGCCGGAGTTGAGCCCGCATTTGCCTGCTGATCCAATCATCTGGTCGCCGGACAAAGTTGGGCTTTGCTGACTGCGGAAGCTTTCTTCCATTCACCGGACGAAGCTGGGATTAAGATGCTGGCTGCTGATCCAGTCATTGGAGCAGCAGTTTGGCCCAGTTTGGCTGTTTGCGATCATTTCATGCCTGTCATGCCTCTCCACTCCTCGAAGAGTGATAGAGAGAGAGAGGGACAAAAAAGCACGAGAACAAGTTCAGACTCTGAAGCCGCAACCTTAGGGACTTACGGGGGAATGCAAAAAGCCAAGGAATGCCTTGGCCAGCCATCATCCTTGGCGGCATAGGCCGCGAGTGAGTGCTTGCCAAGATGAGCGTGTCAAACAATGTTCTTAGCCTGCTCGATGACAGGAGTTGAAACCATTGCGAGGTCTGACAGTGACAGGAATCTAGACTACACGGTGGGAGTTGTACAATGTGTGAGCCTTCCGAACCTTCCTACAAATGTTGACAAGGCAAGGTCAGAGTGTAGCATTGATAGAATACCACCTGACCCGGTGGATGTTCACCGTCACCCCGGTGGCAGGGTCTTGCAACTTTTGGCCGGAGCAGACATGGGAGTTTGCAGTCCATGTCTTGCAGCCAGGCATTGGTGCTTTTGCAGCACGCTCGGGTTTCCGCGCCCTGCGTGCCTCCGGGGTGAAGGTGTGGAAGTGGCTGAAGAAAGGGCAAGATGGGGCCGAAGGCAACTTTTGTGATACTGCAGAACCACTGCAATCTTCATCCATAAGTTCTTATGTCACATTGTGCTGTTCACTGGGCTGATACATCCCATGCCAATGAGACCTAGAGCATCCGGTGTCGCTGTACATTCTCCCACGTGTGGTAAGGGTGGCGCAAGTCCGAACCACAGCGATGAGAAAGTTGCAGCCCTCTCTTTTAGCCCTTCGCTCTGAAAAGAGATCGGAAGAGTCAACGCCCTGAATAAGATTGGGAGTTAAGCAAGGAAACAACACGCACTAGGCTCCATGTGGCTTCGCAAATCAATTCTCACCAAGATCTCGCCTGCAAGAGGTCTTAGGAAAAAAAAACACAATTCTTTTCTTTTCTTCTTTTCTTTTTTCCCCCAAAATGAGGGACGAAAGCAAACTTGCCGTGTCAGTGACTTTCCAGGTCACCATTGCTTTTAGTCCGCAGCCTTCTGCTTGTGCGCTCAACATGGCTCATACTCAGGAGTGGTTTGTGGAATTATTTTATGACCAAATCGCTTGCTATGTGATAGAAGTCATTAGCATGCTGGATCATTGTAGCCTTGAGGCAAGAGCATGCGCTCCAACAACACAGACATGTGGCGGGGGCAAAAGGGATCTCTTGTTTGGAAAAGAAGATGGGGCTTTGCAAAGCAGGGATCATGCTCATTGAGCGGCCCTGCCAATGTCTCCGCCTTCCTCCCGACTCAAACGTCGCCACAATGTCGCAAACACCACCCCCCTTGCGGCGAACACATTGGCATTGTGTTTTTTTTTTGGGCCAGATGAACATCACCATGCCCTCCTTCAGCGGTGGTGGGATCCAGGGCTTCGAGACACCCATGAGCCGTGGGGAGGCGTGGCGGCTTTTGATTTCGAAGCCTTCGGGCAATATCTGGAGTCAATTGAATGTGTCGAACTAGGGACATTTTTGGGAAGGGGCACAGCATGAAAACCAATTTGGAGACATCCTGGCTTGCCACATGCCCATTTGTTGCTCTCTTTTTTTGGGACTGCAAAGAAAGGTGCCATGCTTGACATGTTGTCTGCGCGTTGGCCACGGATCGCTTTTGCCATAATCTGGCTGTTCTCCTGCGGAGCCCGAGGCAAGGAAGATCCTGAACATCTCCTCGGTAGCTCCCAGCAAGGATGCGGTCCGTGAAGCACATCGAAGGCAAGAACTTTCTGAGCGGGACAGTTCCCAGTCGTTACATTCCAAGCCCCTGTTTAATTTCTTCTGTGTTTCATGTATGCTCTCTTCTCTTTTCTTGTTTTTCTTTTTCGTTCATACCTCTGTATCGTCTTTCTCTATGTTTTTCTCGCATCTCTGTGTTTCTTTTCTCCTCTGTTTTTCTGCCTTCCTTTGTTTGATACCAGTTCCTTTGTGTTTCTCCTTTGTCTCTCTACTAATTGCCTCCTCCTCAGGCTTTCTTTTCTTCCCCGCTTTGTGTTCTTTGCATCGTTTGTCTTATCCCCCTTTTGCATTTGCTTTCTCTCTTTTTTTTTTGCTCTGCCCCTCCTTCCTTTACTTCTCGGCTTTTTCCTCTTTCTCTTTCAGGAGTCCTCTTTCCGTTTTGTCTTCTTTCCTCTGCCATTTTATCCAATATTTCTCCTTTTCCTCCTTTCTGCTTTCCCCTTTCCTTTGTTCATTCTTTCTCCTCTTTCTGCTTCTTCCTCTTTTCCTGCCTCGTCTCATCTTCCTCCTTATTCGCATCATTCTCCGTATTCTCATGTCTGTCCTCTTCCTTGCTTTTCTTGTTTTTGTCCACTTTCTTCCTTCTTCCCTTTGGTTTCATGCTGGCTTGTTCATTGCGCTTGTCTTTGAGATTGACCTTGCAGGTTATTGATTGCCAATCACCCGGACAAGGGTGGTTCCACGTACATCGCCTCGAAGATCAACGAGGTGAGAGTTCGCCCTACGGACTGTTGTGGTTTTTTGGCCTCCTTTCAGAGGAGGCACAAGAGTAAAGAGCTCCGAAAACGGGTCATGACATTGACGGCCAGCAAAAATCAGAGAATCGGGTAGCTGGCGCTGAGTGTTTTGTGCTGTGGTAGGCAAGCTTGAATATTAGTGTGGACTTGACAGGCGAAGGAAGTGATGTTGGGCAAGAAGACAACCTGAGGTTTTGTGTAGGGAGCCGATTCGCTCCACGCAAGATGCATAGAGTGAGATGCACAGTCAAAGACTCGCAGAGCTCGCGTGTTAAAAGAGGGAGCACAAGGGACTCCAGGTGTCCCGGGTGCCCCCCCCCCCACTTGCCAGCCCATTCGGCTGTCCCTAGTTTCCAACAGGTTTACGAGCGGGTAGGGTAGCGTACCTGTCTTGGGGATAGTGAACATTCCCCTAAACCCCGGAACACATGCTTGTTGCGAGGATAACGATGTATCTCCTTGCGGAGTAAGTGTCATTATTCATTATTGCTCACTGTCAATAGGAAGCAGGATCAGGGGACTTCAATTTCGAAGTATAGTGCGGGGTATTCTGATGCAGTTGCTTTGCATTGCGCAGTTGCCGGAGTTTGTGGGGGTTATATCCAACTTGGGCCGTCAATTGTTTGGCTTGTGGTTTGCGACCCGGTGGACTCTGACCTTTCCGTCAGCCGTTGAATCAATTCGCGGTCCCTGTGCCTGAAATCTGCGCACGATGACAGGCAGGGCTGGGCAGTCCAAGTCACGTGCAAGCCGATCTGATCGGCAAGGCTTGTCAAATTGCCCTAGTTTCCACTGCCCCAGTCCGCCAGTCCGTAGAACTGAAGCGCTTACTTCCTTTCAGCAGCCTCCGCTGACGCCGGTTGAATTTCTGTGCCTAATCTGCCTTGTGCACAATGAGCGGGTCGCATGCCTTACGTGAATAGTGAGTTCTACCAGTTGAATGCCTGCTTTGTTCTCTGAATCTGCAGAGCTTTGACCAGACGGCACTTGCATGCAAGACTGAGCCGTCTTCTGCTCGCTCTACGACCATTCCTCCCTGCATGTTGTTGTAGGATGCCGGCATGAGCTGTTCAGCGATTTCCTTCCTGAAATGCGCATTCAATGAACTGCTATCCTGTTCCGGCCTGTGCAGGGCGAATCCCGCTCTTAGTTGGCGGTGCTGATGATGTGTCTTGACTCAGATAGGATTGTTTGGGTCAGTACGGGGCTAGCGTTGCAGAGGAGTGCAATGCTTGTCCTGAGAATGAGTTGGGCATGTGCCATGACTCGAATATTCATCCTGCGCTACGGCACTTGTGCTTTCTACCACAGGTTCCACTTAGTAGGTTTGCCTTCGTGCCTAATCCTGCAATTTCGAGTCTCCATGCATCTTCCTTTCTCGCAAGGGGTGCCAATTGCGCCAAGGTCAGAACACAGATGATATTGGTGGCCGCGCATGCGGCCGAGGTTGACGTAAAGACGGAGGCGTGCACAGTTTCATTCCCTCCCTCGCTGTCTTGGACACTGGAAGGCGCCAAAGTCGGCTGCTGCCCCAGAGCTGCAGTTTAGCGACAAGAAGATCACGTGCGCCTGTGAGGCATTTCTCCTGTTGATCCGGCAAGCTCCAAGCAAGGTACACAGGAGCAATCCTGCGTTTCTTCGGGCGGTTCCATGAAAGCTCAGAGGCCGGGGTCACCTGGCCAGTGGCTGCGGGTTGGCACAAGCCGGACCTTCCTTGGAAGGTTTGTTGTCATGCATCCATGTCTCAGATGCAGGTCTACGGGTCCAGCTTCTACGAGTCTGCTGAGGCGCGGAGTGATTTCATGGCTCAGAGCCTACGTTGTCCCAAAACAAACTACTTTTCAAGGATCCAACTTCTTCCACGGCTTTCCATCCTTGCTTACAACTCTGTGAGGTGGACTCCTGGCTGGACTGGGCCCTTATGGAGCTAGCAGAGCCACCAGTGAGGCTGGAGCAGGCCGGAAGCTGCAGCATGCCACCGAGATGGCAAATCCCGCAACACCCAATTCCTTCACAGGTGGCGTCTGTTAATATTAGTGATGCCACAGTATTTGTGAATTCTACCCATTTGTTCACTCCGCTGGAGCGGCCGGAGCGACACTGGCAATAACCCAAGTCATGAAAGGTAATCACCAAAGGCTTTGAAGCACAATCTCCTTGCTGCTCGGATGCCAACACACTTCCCTGATTTCCAGCATGTCTCTGTTCGATATCAATCCATGGGGCTCAGTCTCGTGTTGGCTGGTTCTGCATTGCCATCTGCCAGGCCGCTCAGACCCTGGAGAAGCACCTCGAGCAGCGCGTCGACAGCCCATCGCGTTCGGGTTGATGCCACCCAGAGAGATACAGTTGGAGTCAACCATGAAGCAACGGCTGATTTACGTGGCTGTCCTGAGGTCTTCCTGGTGGGTCAGCGCCTGACCCTGGCAGACATTGCTGCAAGCCTGCCGCTGCAGCGTTTCCAGCAACAGGTGCGGTGATCCACTCGACATCTCAAGACCCGGCTTCGGCCCGGAAAAAAAAAAAAAAAAAAAAAAAAAAAAAAAAAACGCCAAGATGTCCAGAGCCTTGCTGTTTGCGCCAGCCACGGATTCGTGAAGGGCTTGGCCCGCAGGGCCTGGTGCAGCTCGGCCGCGCCACCAAGCGCTGGCTGGGCACCTGCCTTGCCACTGAGGCTGGACGTGGGTCGCAAGGCCACATTTCTGTATGCGTAAGTGAGCGGGACTGCTCATCTCTGCCCTCAAGTGACTTCCCCTTTTTTTAAATAGATCTCTTAGTTTTTTCAGAAACTTGAGAAGATTCCGAACTCGGAGTTGTGGGGCTCTGGATGCGCATTAACTTTTGGTGGTTGAGCCTGTGGCTTGGGAGGCTGCATGCAGCGTTCTCTCGTCGGCACCACCAAAGGCGGGTGAGCGTATGTATTTTCCTCGCTTGAGTGTGATGCTGGCTAGCATCCCAACAGGATTGCAGGCAGATGTGCAGGCAGATGGGTTGTTTAATGATCTCATTGTCGCGCCCGGTCTTTCCGCTTGCCCAGGGCAAGGCTGCAGCTGCAGCTACAGCCGCGCCGTCAGTGGCGCCGGTGGCAGCTGTGGCTGGTGCCACCCCGATGTCCTCCACTCCATTGCTGGATCGTGCGCCCCTGCATTGTCCGCATATTCGGCGTTCTTGTGCATTTGTACTGTGAGCCATGAGGGCGAAATCTGTGAGCCACTACTTGGAGCACCGCTCGGAATGCTTTTAGCTGGCAGGGTACAGCAGCTGTGTGGGTGGCCGCACGGAGATCAAGAGAATTATGCTCGCCGACGGCGACGGCAAGAGCATGGTGGGTCAGAAGGCCGGCTCAACTTGCGGCTTTTCTCATTATTTTCTTTTCCTCAATCTGTACTTCAGCTTCAAGCAAGCCTTGTGCCGCTTCCTCACCATCCTCACTATCTTGGGTACATAACGGGGCAACGGGAAGTCGAATCGTTGATGCTTTGTTCTTTCGATGGTGCTTGTTTACCTGGTTGGTCTTCCTGTCCTGCCGACGCGTGTTTGCAGTTTTCCAAAGGTTGTGCTTCCTGGCTAATTTCTGCAACTTCCGGGAAGCAAGCACGGTTAATTTGATTCGTCAGACAAGCAAGCTGAAGGCAACCCCCATCCAAGGGCCAGATGATCACCTGCTGTCACTTTGGCAATGGGCACCAGTTTGATTGTTGCACTCACCACACCAAGGAACTTGATCCCAAAGTGCATACAAAATGTGTAAATGCGGAGATGTGGTCTGGTGTTTGCTTCAATCCCAAAGCTCGCTTTGGTGCAGCCATCGCCTGTGAGAACTACTCCCTCTCGCAGATGCATGGCTTGCATTGTCTACAGCAAAATCTGTCAATGATTTGTCTGTGATCCTCTCACAAGGTGTCTTGATACGCTGGCAAGTAAGCAGCCACAAAGTAGCCCCTTATGGATGGGCATCCAAACTGCAGGTAGAACATGACCCTTTGAGGTAGAACAAAAAGCCGAATATGCTGCATATGACGCGATACTATTTGAGCTATGTACCAGGTAACAGCTCAGGATTAGCAACGCCTACCCATTGTAGCGTCTCCCAACGCAGTGGCTGCCAGACATATGAGCAAAAGGCTAAACTCTCTCGTCATAAAATATGTCTTCGGCGATTTCGCGTTGCTTGTTTTGTATTTTTTCCTCAGGAACGATATAGCGAAGCCCCAAAAACGATAACGTCGCATGACGTGCAACTGGCGCTTCGCGCTTCTATTTTGCACTGTGTGAGCTTTTTTTGCCCCAAGCTGCAAGTTGCCATGACAGCTCCTGTCAATGCTCCTCGGCAATGCATGGTGGGCACATGTGTGCACGAGATGGGCCCACCCAGATGGATCGCTAACGCACCCGTGCACACGCACACGCACAGGCGCCCGCAGGCACCGGAGCACGCTGCGACCTTCGAGCTGGAGCTGCCAAAGTGTAACTTGCGTACTGCGCTGGTACTGAAAGTTGCGACTTGCGACCTGGAAGTTGCAGCCAGCAAGCAAAGCCGCCAATGCTTGGGAGCCAGAGAAGCATAGTTTAGTCCGCTGATCACATGACTACTGCAAGGTAGAGAAGGCTCTTGTGCGCTTGCTTGGCTCTAGCTTATAGCAAGTTTGCTTTTTTCGTGACACTACACGCGCCCAGAACGATACCCAAAACGACACCCTATCGATACTCCGAGATCGTCCCGGAGCAGCCAATGTGAGGCCTACCTATAGTGCGTTTGCTTTTTCAACCACACGCGCAGCTCCTTCAGCGCACATCCTTCCGCGCACACAAAGGGCCCGCAACGGGCCAGGCCGCGGACGCCTTGGCGGGCTTGCGCTTGCTCCTCAAAGATCTGCTGCTGCAGGAGGATGGGAAGGCCTCACTTGCCCGAGCAGATCTGTGATCCGGAAGGCTTTGGAGAAGAGCCCGAGCTCCAAGAGTGCTGCAGTTCACACTCTCCGAGTGATCCGAAAAGGTGTTTTCGACGCTCCAAAATTACTTTTGGGTATGGTTTGGCGGTGCAGGCAAGAAGCATGAGCAGTAGGAAGGAGAGCAATCGGTGGCCCAGAATGCAGTTCACACTCTCCGAGTGATCCGAAAAGGTGTTTTCGACGCTTCGAAATTACTTTTGGGTATGGTTTGGCATGCCGACTGTGGCGCCTGCGGGTGCAAGCAAGAAGCATGAGCAGTAGGAAGGAGAGCAATCGGTGGCCCAGAATGCAGTTCACACTCCCCGAGTGATCCGAAAAGGTGTTTTCGACGCTCCGAAATTACTTTTGGGTATGGTTTGGCATGCCGACTGTGGCGCCTGCGGGTGCAAGCAAGAAGCATGAGCAGTAGGAAGGAGAGCAATCGGTGGCCCAGAATGCAGTTCACACTCTGCGAGTGATCCGAAAAGGTGTTTTCGACGCTCCAAAATTACTTTTGGGTATGGTTTGGCATGCCGACTGTGCGCCTGCGGGTGCAAGCAAGAAGCATGAGCAGTAGGAAGGAGAGCAATCGGTAGCCCAGAATGCAGTTCACACTCCCCGAGTGATCCGAAAAGGTGTTTTCGACGCTCCAAAATTACTTTTGGGTATGGTTTGGCATGCCGACTGTGGCGCCTGCGGGTGCAAGCAAGAAGCATGAGCAGTAGGAAGGAGAGCAATCGGTGGCCCAGAATGCAGTTCACACCCCCCGAACGATCCGAAAAGGTGTTTTTGACGCTCCAAAATTACTTTTGGGTATGGTTTGGCATGCCGACTGTGGCGCCTGCGGGTGCAAGCAAGAAGCATGAGCAGTAGGAAGGAGAGCAATCGGTGGCCCAGAATGCAGTTCACACTCCCCGTGTAATCCGAAAAGGTGTTTTCGACTCTCCAAAATGCTTTTGGGTATGGTTTGGTGCATGCCGACTGTGGCGCCTGCGGGTGCAAGCAAGAAGCATGAGCAGTAGGAAGGAGAGCAATCGGTGGCAAAGAATGCAGTTCACACTCCCCGAGTGATCCGAAAATGTGTTTTCGACGCTCTAAAATTACTTTTGGGTATGGTTTGGCATGCTGACTGTGGCGCCTGCGGTGCAAGCAAGAAGCATGAGCAGTAGGAAGGAGAGCAATCGGTGGCCCAGAATGCAGTTCACACCCTCCGAGTGATCCGAAAAGGTGTTTTCGACGCTCCGAAATTGCTTTTGGGTATGGTTTGGCATGCCGGCTGTGGCGCCTGCGGGCGCAAGCAAGAAGCATGAGCAGTAGGAAGGAGAGCAATCGGTGGCCCAGAATGCAGTTCACACTCTCCGAGTGATCCGAAAAGGTGTTTTCGACGCTCCGAAATTACTTTTGGGTATGGTTTGGCATGCCGACTGTGGCGCCTGCGGGTGCAAGCAAGAAGCATGAGCAGTAGGAAGGAGAGCAATCGGTGGCCCAGAATGCAGTTCACACTCTCCAAGTGATCCGAAAAGGTGTTTTCGACGCTCCGAAATTACTTTTGGGTATGGTTTGGCATGCCGACTGTGGCGACGGCATGAAGCAGTAGGAAGGAGAGCAATCGGTGGCAAAGAATGCAGTTCACACTCTCCGAGTGATCCGAAAAGGTGTTTTCGACGCTCTAAATTACTTTTGGGTATGGTTTGGCATGCCGACTGTGGCGACCTGCGGGTGCAAGCAAGAAGCATGAGCAGTAGGAAGGAGAGCAATCGGTGGTGGCCAGAATGCAGTTCACACCCTCCGAATGATCCGAAAAGGTGTTTTTGACGCTCCAAAATTACTTTTGGGTATGGTTTGGCATGCCGACTGTGGCGCCTGCGGGTGCAAGCAAGAAGCATGAGCAGTAGGAAGGAGAGCAATCGGTGGCCCAGAATGCAGGTCACACTCTCCGAGTGATCCGAAAAGGTGTTTTCGACGCTCCGAAATTACTTTTGGGTATGGTTTGGCATGCCGACTGTGGCGCCTGCGGGTGCAAGCAAGAAGCATGAGCAGTAGGAAGGAGAGCAATCGGTGGCCCAGAATGCAGTTCACACTCTCCGAGTGATCCGAAAAGGTGTTTTCGACGCTCCAAAATTACTTTTGGGTATGGTTTGGCATGCCGACTGTGGCGCGGTATGAGCAGTAGGAAGGAGAGCAATCGGTGGCAAGAATGCAGTTCACACCCCCGTGATCCGAAAAGGTGTTTTCGACGCTCCAAAATTACTTTTGGGTATGGTTTGGCATGCCGACTGTGGCGCCTGCGGGTGCACAAGAAGCATGAGCCTACGGAAGCCGAGAGCAATGAGCAGTAGTCGGTGGCCCAGAATGCAGGTCACACTCTCCGAGTGATCCGAAAAGGTGTTTTCGACGCTCCGAAATTACTTTTGGGTATGGTTTGGCATGCCGACTGTGGCGCCTGCGGGTGCAAGCAAGAAGCATGAGCAGTAGGAAGGAGAGCAATCGGTGGCCCAGAATGCAGTTCACACTCTCCGAGTGATCCGAAAAGGTGTTTTCGACGCTCCGAAATTACTTTTGGGTATGGTTTGGCCCTTCCAGCAACCTCCAAATAGCAAGCTGGGGAACGCAGTTTTGAGCAACAAGCCGGGGAGTGTAGCTTTGGTCAAAAGCACCCAATAGGCGCCACAGTCGGCATGCCAAACCATACCCAAAAGTAATTTAGAGCGTCGAAAACACCTTTTCGGATCACTCGGAGAGTGTGAACTGCATTCTTTGCCACCGATTGCTCTCCTTCCTACTGCTCATGCCGTCGCCACAGTCGGCATGCCAAACCATACCCAAAAGTATTTCGGAGCGTCGAAAACACCTTTTCGGATCACTTGGAGAGTGTGAACTGCATTCTGGGCCACCGATTGCTCTCCTTCCTACTGCTCATGCTTCTTGCTTGCACCCGCAGGCGCCACAGTCGGCATGCCAAACAATAAACTGCATTCTGGGCCACCGATTGCTCTCCTTCCTACTGCTCATGCTTCTTGCTTGCGCCTTTGCACTGCTCATGCTTCTTGCTTGCGCCCGCAGGCGCCACAGCCGGCATGCCAAACCATACCCAAAAGCAATTTTGGAGCGTCACACCTTTTCGGATCACTCGGAGGGTGTGAACTGCATTCTGGGCCACCGATTGCTCTCCTTCCTACTGCTCATGCTTCTTGCTTGCACCGCAGGCGCCACAGTCAGCATGCCAAACCATACCCAAAAGTAATTTTAGAGCGTCGAAAACACATTTTCGGATCACTCGGAGAGTGTGAACTGCATTCTTTGCCACCGATTGCTCTCCTTCCTACTGCTCATGCTTCTTGCTTGCACCCGCAGGCGCCACGTGTGAACTGCATTCTGGGCCACCGACTGCTCTCCTTCCTACTGCTCATGCTTCTTGCTTGCACCCGCAGGCGCCACAGTCGGCATGCCAAACCATACCCAAAAGTAATTTTGGGCGTCGAATGTGAACTCCATTCTGGGCCACCGATTGCTCTCCTTCCTACTGCTCATGCTCCTTGCTTGCACCCGCAGGCGCCACAGTCGGCATGCCAAACCATACCCAAAAGTAGTTTTGGAGCGTCGAAAACACCTTTTCGGATCACTCGGAGAGTGTGAACTGCATTCTGGGCCACCGATTGCTCTCCTTCCTACTGCTCATGCTTCTTGCTTGCACCCGCAGGCGCCACGTGTGAACTGCATTCTGGGCCACCGATTGCTCTCCTTCCTACTGCTCATGCTTCTTGCTTGCACCCGCAGGCGCCACAGTCGGCACGCCAAACATACTCAAAAGTAATTTTGGAGCGTCGAAAACACATTTTCGGATCACTCGGCGAGTGTGAACTGCATTCTGGGCCACCGAAGTACTGCTTGCTCTCCTTCCTACTGCTCACGCTTCTTGCTTGCGCCCGCAGGCGCCACAGTCGGCATGCCAAACCATACCCAAAAGTATTTTTAGCGTCGAAAACACCTTTTCGGATCATTCGGGGACATTTTTGGCCACCGAAGTACTGCTTGCTCAAAACGATACCCAAAACGACACCGAAACCACACCCCTGGAATTGCAGCGTTCACATGGCGCGGGGGGGTGGCCCATTCGTTGCTCGTGCTCGAAAAGAGCTTGTGGACTCAGAGGTGGAGCCGTAGCCCAAGTAAAAGGTGCTGCATGGTGCTGCTGTGCTTCAAGTTGTTTATAAGTCTCGCTTGCAGCTACCAAGTCACCGGACAGCAGTCCGGGCTGCGAGGCGCACGCACGCAACGTGTAGCTGGTTTTGGCACATGCCCTGGACTGAGAGAATGGGCAAAATTTTCTGGTTTTGGAGGGCTGTCTGAACGATACTCTGAACGATACCTCAACGACACCCGGAAAGCACAAAAGGCGGGCCACCGCTTACTCATCAATCAGTGGTGGTCAGCGTGTGGGCCCTGCTCCACCTCCAGGTGCTTGCGGGCGGTCTGGAACCAGCGTCATAAAGCATGTCATGGAGCTTGTGGGGAGGCGCAGCATCTACACCCTTCCTGCCTTCTTGCCTTCCTGCCTTACTGCCTTCCTGCCTTCCTGCCTTCCTGCCTTCCTGCCTTCCTGCCTTCCTGCCTTCCTGCCTTCCCGGCTTCTGCCTTCTTCCCTTGCTCCCTTCCTTCTTCTTCTGCCCTGCCTCCCTTCCTCTTCTGCCCTGCCTCCCTTCCTCTTCCTCCCTTCCTCTTCCTCCCTTCCTCTTCCTCCCTTCCTCTTCCTCCCTTCCTCTTCCTCCCTTCCTCTTCCTCCCTTCCTCTTCCTTTCCCTTCCACCCTCCTTTTTCCATTGCCCCATCCTTCCTTGCTCCCTTACTCCCTGGATTCCTTTATCCCTTCCTCCCATCCTTCTTCCCTTCGTCCTTTCTCCTCCTGCTTTCTCTTCCTCCCAGTTTCTCTTCCTCTGCTCTCTTCCTCCATTCTTTCTCTTTCCCCCTTCCACCCTTCCTTGACATAAACACACCAGTGTCTGAAACATTGCAGAACGATATAGCGAAGCCCCAAAAACGATAACGTGTTGCTCGAAATCGCCCAAAGTAGTCTTAGGTTTTGCCTCTCGCTCATATGTGCGCACTTCCCATTTTAGTACAGTGCGAATGCCGGGCCCTTCACCGTAGGTTAGCGTGTGCGGCTGGGTGAAAACAGCCAGAGAGGCGGGCGTGTTGTTGTGACACTTCCTCACTAGACGTGGCTGTAGGAATTGCATTTCACTGGCTGACGATTTAATTCTACTGGAGGCTGACAAAGGCAAGATCATGTTTGTGCAACTCAACGACGGCTCCATTCCGCTGGACATCCAGGCACTGATCCACCAGCCTGAGATCAAGGTTTCAACAGTTTGCAAAATGGTTCCTGCACGCCGCATGTTCAATTTTATACAGGAAGTCCAAGGCCAGTCCGGAACTTCAAAGGTCATCAGCCTTGGCCTGCCATTTTGACCCAGCGAGCTGTTGGTGGGGACGGATCCTTGAGCCACGCGGCCTTCAGGTGGTGATCGATTCAGGGGCTAAAGGCTTTGACAGCCGCGGCCACAGCGCGGTTTCTGCAGAGTCGGGGTCAATCTCAGGATTGCCGCCCCATGCCGCCAACCTGAAACGTGTAACAGACCAAACAGCAAACCTGCAAAACCAAGCAAGCCAAGCAGCCGCCAGTAAGCAGCCCCACCAGATCCCAATCGACCTTGAAAAGTCGACCAAACGAAAGACCCACACGATAAAGCTTTTACCAGTGCATTCGGTTCCTACACAAAGAAGCGCACGAAGCCACGACCCTGCTTTGAAAAGTGATGGGCGGTGCGCATGGCGCGTTCACGTGCTTTGCTTGGAGGCCTGAAAGGCAAATGCAGTACCGGTGCCTCCATGAAGTGCACTGGAGAGGCATGGCAGTCGTGTCGCTCGAGATTGTACGATCCAAGTTCCCCAAGCTGGAATTGGCGGGAAGCTGCTGTTGGATTGAGTTGGGTGCTTGGCAGGTTGTGGCATCTCCCGGTGGCAAGCAGGCTGTGGAAATCTTGGTGAAGGACGGGACGCTTGTGCAGATGCAATGAACTGATCTTTAGTCTCCACTCAAGAGTATGAATCCGTACAGTCACAGGACGCAGGCTCCGAGGTCGTGCTCTTCGGCGGTGTCGACGCGAAGGACTGACATTCTGACCCGTGAAGCTGGTTTCTTGCCATTTCCTGCGATATATAACAGGCATCAAGCTTGTCAGCTCTTAGATGCAGGAGTATCCACTTGCCAAGAAAGGTCACAGTCATGAGCCTTTACCTCAGTCTGGTAGCAGAGACGGATCGCTTTAATCTGACTTTGATCCTCGACTCAAGCAATGAGCCCCTTCGCCAAATGTCTCTCAGACTTTTGATGCTTTCACCCTGTCCCCTTGGCTGCTGGACGTGAGAATACATGCAGTCTTCAGCTGAGAGACCAGTCTGTGCTTTGGATTTCATGCAAGGTACCTGCGGTCCATTGCGCACCTGCGACCCAGATCAAACTTGATTGGCAGTGCACTGCGCTTAGTCGAGATCGGCACGCAACAATTGGGCAGCCCGGCAAAGGCAAGCTTTTCCCAGAACACTTGCGCGAACTGAAGGTGGTTTTGCCCGCGAACTGTGTCTGAAGGTTGCAAGAGTGCGGGCTGCACTGGCACAAGCCACGCACGAATTCTTCAGGCACGGCGATTGGGATGCTCTCGGAGTGTGGTGCACGCTTCAAAGGGCACCATTGTTCACTGCAGTCCAGTACCAGATGAAGACATCGCAGGAAAACCATAGCCAAGCACACGGAGAGTTCACCTTTTGCATGTGCAGGTCGAACAACTTTTTGTATGCCGGGCTCCCAGTTTCAGATGTGTCTATTTTGAGCTTCGAACCTTTTCGCCAGCAAGAGCTTGCTGGTTTCAATGCCATGCCCAGGTTCACACGCCGCTGATCACAGCAGCCGATTGCGAAGGTGCTGGAGAGATGTCCGGCTCTCAGCCTTGAAAGGTCCAGCCCAGGAGTGCAGCGCTTTGTCCCGACGTCAGGTTCCAGGTGACCACCATGATGGCAGAGGCGGAGAAGGATGGCAAGCCACTTCCCATGGCCAATGGCAAGGCAAGGGACGCAAGGGCTGCAAGGAATGCAAGAGCGTCAAGAAATGCCAGGGCAGTGAGCGGTTTGCAAAGTTCACACTGCGGCATGCTGTGGCTGAACTTGATCTTCTCACCTTGTGCCCTTTCAACATACTTTCCTAGCGCTGTGCAGTTCGACTACACCAAAGACTTCTTCCAGAAGCCAGCCTTCTTGACCGTGAGCGGTCAGCTGCTGCCTCAGAATTTAGCCGGTTTGCAGTTTGTTTGACGTCCCTCCCACAAACCTGCAAAGTCATTGGCTCAGGTTGTCGGTTGAGAACTACTGCTGTTCGCTCTCCAAGGCAGACGGGAAGGGCGCCGTTTGACTTCAGCTTGGCTTGTGCCACCTCAGGTGTACACCTTCGGCCCGACCTTCCGGGCAGAGAACTCGCACACCTCCAGGCAGGCTTCCATGCTGTCAGAGGCAATCGCGGTTTGGCTCAAAGTTTACGGAGGGGCCCAGAAGTTTGGAATTTATTCTTTTCAACTGGCATGCCTGGACAAAGGCACCTCGCAGAGTTTTGGATGATCGAGCCCGAGTTGGCCTTTGCCGACATTGTGGACGACATGAACTGCGCTGAGGTTGGGCGCTTGAACGGAATGCAGGCCACACAGTTCTAGCCAACCAAAACTGATATCAGGGTGCAAAGTTTGGCTCGAGTCACACCACTGCGAGCAGAGCGATGTGCCTGCCCAGGACTACTTAAAGTATTGCGTGCGATACGCAATGGAGCACAATCGCCAGGACAGTTTTCTTCAGACACTCATGAAGCTGATTGCCGGCAATTTGCTGCAAGAGTTGTAAAGCCGTCACGGGTGCCATGATGCTTGCCCCAATAAATTGTTTAACACCACAGGTATCCGTTGACTTGAAGTCATTGCGGAAGGGCATACGCGACAGGACCTGGAGTTTTTTGATGACAAGATTGAAAAGGGGCCGAGCCCTTGAGTCTCCAAGGGTGAGATCATACATGCCAAGCATGGTCTAACACTCCCTCATCTAACAGTCATTTTGAGCAATCACACAAGTATCTTGCTGTTGGACTGAATGCGGAAAGATTATCCATTGCTTTGAGAATTGCTGATGTGGCTGAAAGCATTTCCTGCTGGATACTATTCGATGCCATGAAAGTTGTGCGAACGGGTCATGTGCAATTTCAGTTAGCTCTCCGATTGAAGCACATCATATACGATGAAAGGGAAGGCTTATATCATCCTAACTATGTCAAGGCCATTTAGGGCATCCTGGCTGGATCCCATTGAATCCCAAGAGATACTGCTGGTGCTGGTGCTGAGGCTTGTCAAGAGACTGGAGAACCTGTTGGCTGAGCCGTTTGCTCGTGTTACCTACACGGAGGCAGGATTTGACATGTCGAATTCTGTAGCATCTTTTCCATACTAGTGCCTTCCTTTTGCAAACAACACAAAGCGGTCTGCGACTTTTGTTGTAGTCGCGATTGAATATTGCAAGCAGCGTCTTTGGGAGGGCACTCACGGGAGCCAGCAAGAAGTTGACAAGCATCTGAATTTAGAGTTTTGGGGGAGGCTTTGGTTTGCCAATAAGGCTAGCAGGCAGCAGTAGCAGCCAGGAGCAACGAGTTAATCAAGTAGACCAGCAAGACACGGGTCATCTCGGGAAGCTGTTCTCCTGCCTTGCGGCCGGGTTCCTTCAGATACGAGGAGATACGTTGAGGGTGGATCCTGGATCGTAGCAATTGTGTTGGGTAGCGGATTGTTTCATCCACCAGGGCTCCAGTTTGCCTGACCCAACATTCTTTCCGGACATGCATTCCACGTTTCTTGAGGTACACACCAATGCCTTTTCACTATTATCAAGAAGCAAATTTCTTGTTGCTCTCACAGGTCTTAAGGAAACCACACCGTTTTGCTGTGCTTAGCTGTCAACACTTCATTGCTCTATAGGACATGCGGACTCAGATTGTATTTGTCATTGCCAGAAAGCAGAACTAGGCTCACAAGGCTGGCTAAAAGCAGGTTCCTGCAGCAACCGGGTATTCAGGCCATTGACATCCTGCTGAAGGAGTCGCCCACAGCCAAGTTCCAGGTAGACGGCAAACGCTTGTCAAGGTCAACATGGCGTCGCGGAAGTCGCTTGTGAGTCAAGAGCTTGTGCATTGCAGGTGCCTGTCGAGTGGGGTATGGACCTCGGCTCCGAGCACGAGAGGCATTTGGCGGAGAAGGCACGGTTCCGAAGTCGCCACTGGAAGAATTTGCTGGTTGCGAGGTCTTCAAGAAGCCGACCATCGTGTACAACTACCCCAAGGCTCGGGGGTCAAGAGGTGCGTTGCCATGAGCCCATGATCCTTGGTGCCGTGGCCCAGGACATCAAAGCCTTCTACATGAGGCTCAACGAGGTTGGCTCGTTGTCTGCGATCCAACACGGCAATTGTATGCTGCGACCCCAAGCCGAAGGGTCCGTGTTGGCGCTTGGCAAACTGTCGACCTGGCCACTTGCATTCGCCCAAATGGACAAGTTGGCTTCCCGTTCCCGGATCTCCCACATATCAGCTGTGCAGGACAACAAAACCGTTGCAGCTATGGACGTCCTTGCGCCGGCCATTGGGGAGGTGCCCAGCCCCCCACTGAAGCCGCGCATTTGCTCCCAAGTCCGCAGACCATTCAAAATGATTTCATGTCTTTGCATTCAAGCCGTGGTCCAGGTAATTGGAGGATCCCAACGCGAAGAGAGGCCATGCACTGAGGCAATGTGCATTTGACGCCGGCTGCAAAGCAGCGATGCTGGCTTGCAGTATGCTGAGCAACATTCTTTGTTGCTTGCCAGAGGTGGGCAGGGAGCTATGTGGTTTGCTGAGGTTGGACGTGCTGGACAGGCGCATCACAGAGATGGGCCTTGAACCAAAGGACTACTGGTGGTGCGCCGGGGCCGACGAGGGTTTGTCTGACCGCGACTGATTCTCTCCCATGTCAGGTACCGCGACCTGCGGCGTTTTGGCTCAGTGCCACACAGTGGCTTTGGCCTGGGCTTTGAGCGCCTCATCATGCTGTGGGGGTGCCTGGTGCTGTGGTGCTCCAGTGCCCGTTTGGCCCTTCATGCCTTTGTGGAGACTGGCAGTCATGTTGTTGCTTACTTGTTGTTTGCTTTTGGGCTTGTAGGTGGGCACATGGGTGGCTGGATGCATGAGAGGGCGGAGGTACCTTAGGTTCTTTGACGATGATCTCATTTACAGCATTGATACATGCTACTGCCGTGCATTCAATCAGCCTATCCATGACATTGCCATAGGAGTTAGCAAGAGCTTTTTGACAGACTCGTCAGAGAATACATGTTTGTAGCACAAACCCAGATGAGATTTGCTGAGGGCTTAGTTCAATTTGCTTGACTCCTTTTGCTTGAGTTGGTTGACAGGTGGGTTTGGATGCACGATACCTGTGACAACTTTCCTCATCTTCGCTCTGTTTGTAGATATGCAGAAGGAGCAAAACGTAGCTGTGACATTTCTCTTTGCCAATCTCTACGGTCTGAGCTTTGAGCGAAATGTAGATTTGCGACATCTAGCAGAGTCACATACATTCAAGCAAGTCAGTGTCCGTGGGCGAATCTGATGTGCGTAGCTTGATACTTTATTTCGAGTGGTCAATGTTACATTGTGGTGGCTAAGCCGCTGGATGTGGTGGTCTCTGCGCGAGCTGCAGTGATTTGGAGTGTCGTGTTGCTACTCTTCGGTAACACCCGATTCGCCAAGCTGGTGAAGCAGTTGTATATCATTGCTCCTTACACTGGGTGTGCTAACATTCCGTTTGGCAGGTCCGTGAGATTGTTTGAACACATATTTGCTTTTTGCAAAGTGATTTCACATACTATGAGTAAGTGTGAGTGTGTGATTGCCGCCATCCCTCGAATGCGGTGCCAGAGACCTGCTCAGATTCTCTCTTGCTATATTTTTCTTCTGCTGAGGACCACGGGTGTGGAGAACATCCGCGACGTCATTCCGTACCCAAGGCACAACCGGCTGAGGGCCAATCTTGTCCATGAAGTACTCAATCGTGTGATAATTTTCCGTTGCGGCAGACGCATGACTGTAAAGCATGGCTTGGCTGACAATTAAGGCATTGTTTGCTTGTGCGCAACGCCTTTTCCGGGATGCCTGTGCGAACTGCCAGGTATCCTGGCCATGCAGAGTTCTGAAGGGCGGGCACTCGTTGTTATCGCACTTCGAAACATGTTGTGCCAACGACCTGTCAGCCGACTCATCAGCCATGGCTAGATTAAAAAGACCGTGGGGCATGATTCGAACCGAGAAGTACTGCGTTGGTGGGCTCGCATGAGCATAAAATGCACGCGTAATACGAATTGGACTGACAAGTATAGTCATGACTCACTCTCCACAAGAGGAGGCAGCTATTTATGCTGGAGATTGTGAGATTGTGGAGTAAGCATGGATCTCGCCTACCTGGTCGAGATCGGGCTGGCTTGCTCCTCAGATATGCTCGGCAGAGCTGTGGTTCCGCATCTTTTTTCTTTCTTCCTTTTTTTCAACAACTGGCCGTTTACATTTGTTTACCCTAATTGTTGGCGGTTTCATGGACAAGGTTTGCAGGGTTGCTGTTGGGGATGCCGCCTGGGCTAATTTTGAGGGGTACCCATTCTTTGGGGGTACGCGAAGCCAAAGGGAATGACGTGGACCGAGAATTGATCCTAGACGTTCAATGGTGCCTTTTTCTTTGTTTCTTAGGCGGGTTTCCCAAGATCAACCAGCCAAGCAATGGTGTCTACTTTTTCTGTGGCCAACCCCTGTTTGACTTTGATCCGAGGTGCTGTGAGCCATTTGGGGAGCAGGCTGCCCAAAATGTATGTGTTGCCCGGTGTACCATACTTCAGCTATGAGGAGTGGCTCATCAAGAAATATCAACCACGTGTGGTGCGTGTTTGGTTGCCTGCCAGCTACCTTTCACAGGTGAGCATGGCGAAGGATGGCCCGGATGTCACCAAGGCGGCGAGCTCTGAGGCGAGCCCTGAGAAGACATCCTTCGGCCCGGACCGCATACAGTGAGCACTACCCAAGGTTGGATGTATAGAATGTTGACAGTTGTAGAAGTGTAGGCAATACAGACTTGAAAAATGAGTGGGCAAAGTTTTCCAGCTGTGGAAACTGCAGGTGGAGCGAAGCCCAAGGCCAGGGTAGAGGTCCTTGGGGCTTCGGGACAGCGCGTGCTCACAAGGAACTTGGCACCAGTGCAGCTGGTTGCCCTGCACTTTGTGCTCAACATAGATGGGACATGCTCGAACGAGACGAATCGTACTGGAAACCCACGATTTTTCCTGTTGAATAGCAAGGGCTCCACTTTTGGAAGAGATCCTTCACTTCAACCCGGGATTAGGATTGCATCATTCCGATAATCGATGTCTCAACAAGTGAAGTGTGATGATATCGGGATGGCCCTGATGGTACCATTCATTTGTTTGGGTTTTGTGTCGAAGAGGACCGAGGACTCCGAGGACCACTTGTTTGTCTCCAATCAAGAGACACACGGCCGTTCCTCCAGCTTGCTTGGCAGCCTCCTTGAAGGCTTGCCCTCTTATCCGAAAGTAGGACCCCATCATATCAAGATCTCAAAGAGGGGCTTACTTGGAGGGAACGGGCGGAGTTAGGGAAGAAGAGGGGGGATCCTACCCCATTGATTCCATTTGCGCGTCTTTCCCCTTTAGACTGTGTAGAAGGGGCGGGGTTTGTTCAAACCAACCCCTCAAAAAGAGAGATGCGAAATGGTGTATGTCCATGTGAAGGTCGCAAAGGTGAAAGCCAAGGCCAAGGGCAAGACAGCGAAGGCCGGTGCCCCGGAACGGAATAGTTTTTCAAACTGGTGCTAATTTGTTTAAGGAAATTCTATCCGCTGTTTGATCCGGGGTGCTGTGAGCCATTTGGGGAGCAGGCTGCGCATTATCCCGGCAAGAGACCCCAAATAGTATTGCGTCCAACTTGACGACAGGTGGCCCAGAAGCATAGAAAAACGTTAAATAAACACTGACGCCTCTCCCACCTGATGAGATCGTAAGCACGTCGGTGCCCCTGCTCAAACGATTCTGATGAGCAAGCTCAGCATCATGCTTCACAATCTCTCCTGTCAACTTCTCGCGCGCGTGATGCTGTGGCTTGATGTTGCGCGCGAAGCTGTGCGTGATGTTGCGCGTGATGTTGCGCGCGATGTCGCATGACGTTGCGCGAAATGCAGCGCATGATGCTGCGCATGATGTTCTGCAACCTCTCTTGCCAAATCTTTTATGTCCTCTGTTGAAAAACTCTCTTGTCCATATCTGTGAGCAGCTGCTGGCAATTTTAGCTGCGGAAGCGTACTTCGCATACTACCTGAACCGCGCGAGCGCGCTTCGCGCGCACGTTGCCATTTACGATTTTGCAGCCGGAGCTGCGGGGATGCACTTTATGTACAACTTTGGACTTAAGAGTTGCGAGCCTCGTGCCATGGGAACGCACTTCGTACACTCATACAAAGTTGCAACTTTGCAGCTGGAGCTCCGGAGCGCACTTCGCGTAGGACTTTTGCACTAAAAACCTGCCAATTTCAAGCTGGCGCTGCGGGAGTGCACTTCCAGTACTACTCTTGTACTTAAAATTGCGATTTTGCAAGCCGGAGCTCTGGAGTGCTCTTCGTGTACTACTTTTGCACTTGAAACTTGCGAGCTTTCAGCCGGAGTTGAGGGAATGTCCTCCGCAAACTACGTTTGTACCTAGAAGTTGCGAATTTCGAGCCGGAGCTGCGGGAGTGCGCTTCGCGTACTACTTTTGAACTTAAAACTGCGATTTTGCAGCCGGAGCTCCGGAGTGCTCTTCGCGTACTACTGTTGTGCTTAAAAAGCGCGATTTTACAGCCGGAGCTGCGGGAACGCGCTTCCCGTACTACTTTTTGCACCTAGAAGTTTCGAATTTCAAGCCGCAGATGCGGGAGCGCACTTTGCGCGCCAGCTTTGTACGTAAACGTTGCCTGCGCAGCCGGAGATGCGGGAGGGCACGTCCCACCTCGCACGGTGCCACAGCGAGAGCGCTTCGGCGCGCGCGATCTCCGCAGAGGGTTCGCTGAGCTCAAGACAATTTCGCACGGCGCCACAGCCAGAGCGCTTCGACACGCACGATCTCCGCAGAGGGTTCGCCGAGCTCACGACAAGTTCGCACGGCGCCACAGCCAGAGCGCTTCGACACGTACGATCTCCGCAGAGGGTTCGCTGAGCTCAAGACAAATTCGCACGGCGCCACAGCCAGAGCGCTTCGACACGCACGATCTCCGCAGAGGGTTCGCCGAGCTCAAGACAACTTCGCACGGCGCCACAGCCAGAGCGCTTCGACACGCACGATCTCCGCAGAGGGTTCGCTGAGCTCAAGACAAATTCGCACGGCGCCACAGCGAGAGCGCTTCGACACGCACGATCTCCGCAGAGGGTTCGCCGAGCTCAAGACAAATTCGCACGGCGCCGCAGCCAGAGCGCTTCGACGCGCTTGATCTCCGCAGAGGGTTCGCCGAGCTCAAGACAAATTCGCACGGCGCCACAGCCAGAGCGCTTCGACACGCACGATCTCCGCAGAGGGTTCGCCGAACTCAAGACAAATTCGCACGGCGCCACAGCCAGATCGCTTCGACACGCACGATCTCCGCAGAGGGTTCGTTGAGCTCAAGACAAAGTCGCACGGCGCCACAGCCAGAGCGCTTCGACACGCACGATCTCCGCAGACTCAAGACAAATTCGCACGGCGCCACAGCCAGAGCGCTTCGACACGCACGATCTCCGCAGAGGATTTGCTGAGCTCAAGACAAATTCGCACGGCGCCACAGCGAGAGCGCTTCGACACGCACGATCTCCGCAGAGGGTTCGCCAAGCTCAAGACAAAATCGCACGGCGCCACAGCCAAAGCGCTTCGACGCGCGCGATCTCCGCAGAGGGTTCGCCGAGCTCAAGACAACTTCGCACGGCGCCACAGCCAGAGCGCTTCGACACGCACGATCTCCGCAGAGGGTTCGCCGAGTGCAAGACAAATTCGCACGGCGCCACAGCCAGAGCGCTTCGACACGCACGATCTCCGCAGAGGGTTCACTTTCGGCTTGCAACGCTTGCAAATGAGCGAAACGCTGCGCCTGCCACGAAATTCACAGACCCTGTTTCCGAAAATGCTGCGCCTGCCACGCATCATTTGCATCAGCGCAAAACATGCTGCGCCCGCCGTGAAAAATGCACGGCAGTCTCACAGAATGCTGCGCTGGCCATGGAATTCTGCGGCAACACACAAATCCTAAGATCGGCGCGGCGCCACAGCGAGAGCGCAGTTTTGAAGAAAGGTCCGTTTCGTGCGAAGCTGTCGCACGCGAGACAACTTTTTGCGACAACTGCCATGGTTTTAGAGCTCCGATTGTCCAAGCGTTGTAGCCTGACCCGACAAGAAGATATCATCGCCTGCCATCAAAAAACGCACTTTGGTCTCAAAAAAACGCGTTTGGCACGAGGCTTCTAGCGCGTACCTCCCAACTGTTGCCCCTGCCAGCAAAAGCTGAAAAGTGCGAACGGCGCCACAGCGAGACGCACGCACCAGCTGGCACCTCCATTTCGTGCGAGACTGTTGCGTCGAAGACAACTTTTACGTTAACCCTTACCGTAAGAACCCCTTAGTGTAAACACTATTTGGGGAAAAATGTATGTGTTGCCCGGTGTACCGTACTTCAGCCATGAGGAGTGGCTCATCAAGAAATATCAACCACGTGTGGTGCGTGTTTGGTTGCCTGCCAGCTACCTTTCGGAGGTGAGCGTGGCGAAGGATGACCAAGGCGCCGAGCCCTGAGGCGAGCCCTGAGAGGGCATCCTTCGGCCCGGACCGCATGCAGTGACCACTACCCAAGTTTGGATGTATAGAACGTTGCAAATGTTGACAGTTGTAGCAGTGTAGGCAATACTCTACTTGCGCTAGACTTGAAAAATGAACAGGGCAAAGTTCTCCAGCTGTGGAAACTGCAGGTGGAGCGAAGCCCAAGGCCAAGGTAGAGGTCTTTGGGCTTCGGGACAGCGCGTGCTCACAAGGAACTTGGCACCAGTGCAGCTGGTTGCCCTGCACTTTGTGCTCAACATAGATGGGACATGCTCGAACGAGACGAATCGTACTGGAAACCCACGTTTTTTCCTGTTGATGCGCAAGGGCTCCACTTTTGGAAGAGATCCTTCACTTCAACCCGGGATTAGGATTACATCATTCCGATAATCGATGTCTCAACAAGTGAAGTGTGATGATATCGGGATGGCCCTGATGGTACCATTCATTTGTTTGGGTTTTGTGTCGAAGAGGACCGAGGACTCCGAGGACCACTTGTTTGTCTCCAATCAAGAGACACACGGCCGTTCCTCCAGCTTGCTTGGCAGCCTCCTTGAAGGCTTGCCCTCTTATCCGAAAGTAGGACCCCATCATATCAAGATCTCAAAGAGGGGCTTACTTGGAGGGAACGGGCGGAGTTAGGGAAGAAACGGGGGATCCTATTCCATTGATTCCATTTGCGCGTCTTTCCCCTTTAGACTGTGTAGAAGGGGCGGGGTTGTTTCAAGCCAACCCCTCAAAAAGAGAGATGCGAAATGGTGTATGTCCATGTGAAGGTCGCAAAAGTGAAAGCCAAGGCCAAGGGCAAGACAGCGAAGGCCGGTGCCCCGGAACGGAATAGTTTTTCAAACTGGTGCTAATTTGTTTAAGGAAATTCTATCCGCTGTTTGATCCGGGGTGCTGTGAGCCGGGAGCAGGCTGCGCAAAATGTATGTGTTGCCCGGTGTACCGTACTTCAGCCATGAGGAGTGGCTCATCAAGAAATATCAACCACGTGTGGTGCGTGTTTGGTTGCCTGCCAGCTACCTTTCGGAGGTGAGCGTGGCGAAGGATGACCAAGGCGCCGAGCCCTGAGGCGAGCCCTGAGAGGGCATCCTTCGGCCCGGACCGCATGCAGTGACCACTACCCAAGTTTGGATGTATAGAACGTTGCAAATGTTGACAGTTGTAGCAGTGTAGGCAATACTCTACTTGCGCTAGACTTGAAAAATGAACAGGGCAAAGTTCTCCAGCTGTGGAAACTGCAGGTGGAGCGAAGCCCAAGGCCAAGGTAGAGGTCTTTGGGCTTCGGGACAGCGCGTGCTCACAAGGAACTTGGCACCAGTGCAGCTGGTTGCCCTGCACTTTGTGCTCAACATAGATAGCCTAGTTGCAGTAGTTTCCGGACTCAATTTGAAGTGACTTGTCACTTTTGCAACTTTGCCGCGTTGCGGTTCATGTTTAGGTTGCAAAGGCCGACCTTCTTTTCTAGGTTCAAGAACGCCCCCGAGTTTGAAACACCCCCAGTTTGAGAGACAGTCTCCTGTGAGGAATGAGGCAAGGGTAGACCTGCAAAGGCACGGCTTCGGAGACACGAAGCCCCTTTTGTGAATCAACCCGAGAGGGAGATGAGCCACAACCAAGGCCAGATTATTAAGAAGCAATCCCAACCTTTAAATCGGCGCACTTCTGATTGTTTCAATGGTGTACGGTAGGACTCCTTTAATGCTAGTTTTTGGCTAGTTTGCCGGAACATGCGCAAACAAGAGGATTTTGCTTGTTTTTACTTGGATCCCAGGATTTTTCCGGTTCGTTTGCAAGGGGGCCACGTTTGGAAGAGATCCTTCCCTTCAACACAACATTTTTCGAAGCCATGTCAACAAGTGAAGTGTGATGATATCGGGATGGCCCTGATGGTACCATGCATTTGTTTGGGTGTTGTGTCGAAGAGGACCGAGGACCACTTGTTTTTCTACAAGAAAGAGGCAAGCGGCCGTTCCCCCTGCTTGCTTGGCAGCCTCCTTAAAGTCTTGCTCTCTTGTTATCCGAAAGTAGTACCTTGGGGAGCTAGGCAGAAGGGGTACCCCATGGAATTGATTCCAGTTGTGCGGCGTTCCCCCTTTAGACACAGTAAAAGGGGTGGGGTTTGTTGAAGCCAACCCCAAAAAGAGAGACGCCCAATGGTGTATGTCCATGTGGAGTTCGCCAGCTATGTTGTCGGCTCAGGAGGCAAAGCCAAGGGCAAAGTCAAGGCCAAAGCCAAGCAGGCGGCGCAAGCCACTGGCCCCGAGGCGGGTTCTTCGCGAATTGTTTTTCAAACTGGTGCTAAATTATTTTAGTGTATGTATATATATATATATATCCCGCTGTTTTTTTCAGTGCCCTAGGCAAGCAAGCGAGCGAGCGAGCGAGTGAGCAAGCAGGCAAGCGAGCAATTGCCCTAAGCCCGCCCTAAACCAACCCACCTTAAACCAACCCTAAATCCACCCTAAACCCACTGTCTTAATCCCACCCTAAACCTAAACCAACCCGAAACAAACCCAACGTCGCCCGTGCGCGCATTACGCCACGTAAGGCAAGGCTGACACTTAACGGAGCAACAGAATGTCCAATCAATCCTGATAACATCAGCCGAGAGCGTACAACAGAAATTATTGATGCATCCGAAGGCGGAGATCCAGAAATCCTAGAAGACAATTAGCCACTTACACCCCAGGCCAACAAAGCAATGATTAGCCTGTGGAAAGGTAAGACCATCTTCACCTCTCGGACAACTCGCTCAAGGACGATTCAGTCGACCATTGAGCCAGATCCTAAAGCACCATCCACTGAAGAACCCGCGTCACTTCCGCTTGCCTTAGGCAGAATCCATCAGCGGTTGTCCAAGCCGGAAGAGTTGCAGAAACTCCACCTTCAGCATCATCACATGACAACCGACCAATTTCGGTTCAGAACTCGCGCGCTTCATTTGCCAAAGTCAACCTACGACCTACTTGACAAAATCCGAAGTGAATGTGAAGTGTGCCAAGCGGCGAAACAAGCACCGACACGAAGCAAGACGAGTGGACTTCGAGCGGACACATTCGGTGACATGACATTCATTGATCACTGTCAAGTTCCTCTTGGAACGGGCGAACGCATCATTGTTTTTGTCGTTCTGGATGGAGCAACAACATTGCTCACTGCAGAGGCAGTGATGACTACGCAAGAATCCGAGAACGCTGTCCTCAGGAAGTACTTTGACCAGTACCACTTGCAGCCCAAATCAGTTGTCGCAGATCAGGCCTTCATGACGGAGACATGGGAACACTTCTATCAATCCCTTGACATCAGACCGATCTCATTGGGACCGAATACACCATGGCCAAATCGAGCTGAATCAGCAGTTCGACTCCTGAAGGGGCATGCTCAATTCCACCAAGGCAGGCGCAGCGCCTGCAACACTGAAGAAGAAAGTGACATAGACAACTTGTCAAAGAGGCATGCAAACGGCAAGCGCAGTGAAGTGCGTAGAGGCGCGCGCAGAGTAGACAGTGAAACGCATAGTTGGAAAAATGGACCGATTCAGGCTGCGCTTCATGGAAAATGTTTTCAAACCACCCGTTTTCTAGTTCTTTGGTTTCCCCAAGAAAAACAAAAATCAAACGAAACGCAATCCTGAGAAGGAAATGAAAGGAGCTGACTTGCCTGAGCTTTGGTTTGAGGATTGTTGCAAGTTGTTGTTGTTTTGGGTTCTTCCATGACTTCATCATTACATTGCAAAAACCCAGGCCCCATGGCATCCCCTTCTGTACCGGAAGGAGGGTAAATTGCAGCTTCTGTTTTGTGGAGATGTTGTGACCCCTGGAAAGTCTGAGGTGGCACTGCCCTGCGCCTGCATAGCACACGTGGTGTGCAAGGCCGGATCCGAGCCTTTTGGTGGTTGAAGGCCTGCTGGGCACGTCGGTATGGGGGAACCCTCGGTGGGACATCTTTTGCATCGGGGATGTATGTCCACCAACCGGTGTTCCCAATTATATAAGATTCATAGCCATTCGCCAATATTTGGCCAGTAACAAGGGTGCACTTCACTTTTGATGCTCTTCGTGTTTTGCCACAGGCTACTTCCTGCTTTGACCACGATCGTGTGACCAGGGGGGGCATGGCTGGACGCACCTGAATCAAGGGCCGTTGTTGAGAACCAATTGGGCCAATAGCTTGGCCGAGCGAGCCAGCAACAGGTAGACACTTTGAATCAGAATGCGCATTCCTTGAAGTTCTGGATGAAGTTGCCAGCTTTTTGGGGACAAGCTGCTTGCAGGTTGATTGTGGGAGTTCGCCCCAGATGCCCCAGATGGATACAATTTGGACACACCAAGCTCATCAGTTGCAGTGGCCAGTTCACGAAGGTTGCCAGATTAAGGAAAACCAAAGGTACGACGCACGTGGGCCTGCGTGCCAAGCACATGGCCCCTGGCCGTAAATGGAATCTGGGTGTCCCACTTTTGGAGGGGATCGTCCCGGGCTAAACTTTAAGCAGAGAGATTAGATTACCCGCCCCCAAGAAGGTTCTCAAACCTCTGAAGGACTCCCCGGAGTGTCCCCACTCCCTCTGCAGGAGGCCATGGGGTTGGAACCAACAGCTAAAGGCTTTGGGCCCGAGCCGTGCAACATGTGTCGCCTGATTTCTGGAGGGTGCTGTGTCGCCTGCATGTTTGAATGGACTGTTTGGATTCAATGAGTTGATCATCAAGAATGCGAAGACAAGAAGTCGCGAGAAAAGAATGCGGTGTGCCAGTTGTTAAGATTGCCGATCGAGCACTAGGCTAGGCGAATGTTTCTGCAGCGTTGAGAAACCCAGAGATGAGCTGCCTGGCGAGGTCTGACCTTCTCGTGCGGATCGTTGGCTATAGCATGCTGTAGGTTTTGGCGCGACGCAAGTTCGAGGGAAATTCGCCATGGCGCCATGCGGCGTGGCCGCCTTCCTATGCACGGTCATTGTAGCTTCAGCTCAGAGCTTCGACACGCTGCTCCGCAATGACGAGTGTGAAGATGACTGTGCGCTGTCCGCTCTGCAGATAAAGACATCCCAAGGGGGCCAAGAGCAAAGTTGGGAGGAGTCCGTGTTGGGCGCTTGGGCCCAAGAGCCAGGCTGTCAAGGAGTCCTCAAGGGCCAATGTGGTGTGGGTGCGGTGGTGGTTGAAGTTCAGCCGGAAACTGGGATCGTGTCGCGGACACTCTACACAGCCGGTGCTGGAGGGGGGCCTGCGCCTTTTGATGAACACAAGATGACATCCATTTTCCCTGTCGCAAGCAATACCAAGATCTTCACATCCATCCTCTTGATGGCCTTGGCTGACCACGGCAAGGTGTCAATGAACGAGACTGTGGGTGATTTCGTGGGCCAGGAGTGTGGCGACCTGCCGGTAGCTGTAGCCAATATCACGCTCCTTCAATTGTCATCGCATACCTCTGGCCTCCCAGCACAGCCCACCAATAGACACATGGAGGACTGCAAGAAGGATCCTGTCAATTGCAACCCCTTCACGAAGTACACGGTGCAGGATCTTTGCCAGACGCTGCGGGAGGTGAAGCTTGGCCCGAAGGGGCATTACCTCTATTCAAACTTGGCCTTCGGCATGCTGGGCTATTTCATGGAGCTGCGAATGGGGGTGCCTTACGAGAAACTCACTCAGACATGGGTATTGCAGCCTCTAGGCATGAACAGTGCCAGGATCACCATGAACGAAAGCCAATGGGAGGAGCTGGCGCCACAGGGCAAGGATGCATCAGGTGAAGGCCGCTGGAGGCGTCAGCCCTATGGCATCTTGCAAGGCAACGGTGCCTTCCTTGTGAGCGTGCCAGACATGGGTCGTCTCGTGGAGGCGATGATCAAGGCTGAGAGGGGTCAGGAGACGCCCCTGGCTGCGAGCTTGCGCCAGACCTTACAGCCCATGGCATGGAGCGGTTTCTGTGCATGCAATGCTTGTGAGGAGGAGCGCCTTGAGCTTCAACACGGTTCAAAGATCTTGACGCAATCTTGAACTTGACAGAGTCAATACTCCTTGGGATGGTATTTGCTCAATCGTAAGCTGAAGATATGTCGTAGGCACGAGCAAATGCTTCGCTCACGGCTGCTCCCCTCACACCTGGGGAATGTATGCTCATAGCCGCCTCATAGAACTTTGCAGTGACTGAGAACGAGCTGAACTCTTCTAGATTCTAGTCCTGGAGTTTCGACATATATATATATATACAATATAGACATAAATATGTATACATACATATATATATATATGTATATATATATATATGCATCCATGGTTTCAGATGTTTGGAGATTGCTTCAGGAGGAGTTGTTGAATCTCTCCATCCCCACTGCTGAGCGTGGTGTCGTGGCCATGGGCTGGGAGTCCTCGAGCTCGGGGCTGCGTCGCGGCTGGCACAAGGCGGGAGATATCGCGGGCTACTCCTCCTGGATGCTTGGATGATCTTGGATGCTTGGAGACCTTGGCGGGCCTTGGGATAGCGTGAAAGTGTCAACAAAATGGATTTGGATTTAGGTGGTTTCGTTCCGCCTCTTTGTTATTTTCTTATTTTTTTCAGATTTGGATGCATGAAACATCAACCTCGTGAGGATGGCCTTCAATGCTGCGCTTGGCCGTGGCGCCTTTGGGGTGGACACCTGCGGTGGCTGTGGCGCCCAGCTGGGCTCTCTGCGGGGCTCAGCGGTGCAGCGGATGGTGCAGCTGCTGGCAGACGGGCCGCCGAAGAAGGTGAGTCCATTGCCCCAGGCACCGGGGCATGACTGGTGAGAAGTTCATTTCTTTGAGATGCAAACCTTCTGGGTGGGCGTTCGACTAGGAGTTCAAAGTTCGGGAGAGAGATTCAAGTCCAGCCTCAGGTCGCTAAACCCGAATTGGCGGCACTGGTGGGAGAGGTCCAGGCATGTCCAGCAGCCCCTGGCAAGTTGCAGAGCACCAGCTTGGCGGGCCTCTCTCTCACCTTGCGCGACGGGAAGCTCCTGGCGAGCACCACATCCTTCACAGGTGAAGAGAGCGACGTGGTGACAGCCACGCCGTTCAGTTCGGCGGAGGCCGATGGCTTGCAAGCCTTCTCCGGGGTGGTGCTGGAGCTGTCGGGGCCGGTGGGCACCATCCATGGAGGTCCGCGTGAGCATGGACCGCTGGCTGAGGTGTCTCAGTGGCGCACCATCCATTTCCTTGCGGAGCCAAGCGCTCCAAACAAGCGTGGGGCAGCAGTCCTTCACGTCGCCGGAGCGGATGTCTTCTTCGTAGACGATGTTTCTCAGTGTCCATAGCTCTGAGCTTCGTTTTGATCCAAAGATGAATCAAATCGCATCAGAGAAAAAGATGCGCTGCTTGGCTGACCTGTGAATGCCTGGGAAATTGTGCTGGCGTGCACCAGCCGGGAATCATCATTCTACGCAAGCGCGCACGCCTAGTCTACGCTCAGGGAAGGGAAGGTGATTTGGGTGCTCGGCGTGCAAGAGAATGGTTGAGATTCCGGTCCTCCGTGGCCTGCCGCCCAGCCCGTGCCTGGCCCAACACCCCTGGGCGTGAGCCAAACGCCTTGAAGCCGCTTGCAGACTGGCACAGAGATGGGTTTCATCTCTGTGCCAGTGTGCAAGCGGCTTCAAGGTCGGATTGCAGAGAGTGCAACGACTGACAAAAACGCACAATCACCCAAGCCCTGCCTTAACTTTGTCCAGGGCCTGGGCGATCGTGTGTTTCGCCGAGCCATTGAGTGAGGTCAAATGATTCCATCTCAATCATTGTACGCCCCAGAAGCTTTGTGTGAACGGGCAAGCACCGCAAGCACTGTGAGGCACAAGGCCGAAGCTCAGAGTGAAAGCAAGCCTCTGGCTGCATCCTGTTCGATGCTGAGGTCGCTGGCATGCTACCGCCTGCTGTGGACAGCACTGTGGATAGCATGTGCAAAAACTGAACGGTGCAGTTGCAGCGCAATGTGGCCAAATTGTGGCTTCATTCTAGAACAGGACTGCAGAATCCTGTTGCCGTCAAAGATGACTCCCATGTTCCGCGCTTCCGCACGAACTCTTGATCTTGGCAGCAAACGTAGAACTCTCATGAAAGACAGGCCGTCCTTTGCCGCGGATACTCCCCGCTTCCCTTCCCAAGCCCGCGCTCCAAAAGGCTTCCTTGATGTGGCCAAATTAGTGGTGCCTGACTGCCGCGCTTCCGCGGAAACGACTTGAAGAGTTCCAGCCTCCATGGCTGCCAGAGCGAGCGTCACTGCTGTGGAACAGGGCCACTTGGGATCGCATTGCGTAGAGGGCTTAGAATGCAACCTTGCTGTGGGGGAGCAAGCAGGAGCAAGAAGCTCAATTTTCGAACCGAATGTGCAGGCAACAGCTAGGCTGAGTTACCGGGATGAAACATAGGTGGAGCAAGGTTCGGGCAAAGCCGAGCAGTCATGGTGAGGCATGCGATTGATCACGTTGGCTTGTTCCTTCGCAGCTCATGAAGCTCATTTCGCTCGAATTATATTTGTCTTCCCTTGCCAGCAGCCCGACATCAGAGTTTGAGAATGGTGTGTGTGTTTTTTGTGGGATTGCAACCTCAAATGCTGAACACGCTACGGGTGTTGCTGGGCACCCTGGGAAAAACTGAAACAGACCAAAGGAAGACATGTTTTGGGTGTGGCTGGAGACCTTGACAAATCTAAGATGATGTTGGATCATTTGAATCACTGACCGTATTATCGATATTCTCGCTTGTCCTGTGTTGGTTTGTGTTTGTTGCTGGGCTCGTACGAGCATCTGAATATATTATGCAGGCTAAGTATTTTAGCTCGATGACCGAAGAGGCAATGAGTTGCCAGTTCTTTTGCCACGTTATCATGAGGATTCTCTGGCAGCAAGGCGCTTTGGTGGAGCCTTCTCTGGCAATGCTGCATGCGGCGAGCACACAGTTCAGCCATGGCGTCTGAGCCATGGTTTTGGGCTGAGCCAGATGCGCGGGCCCCAGGTCAATTCGCCTGATATTCAGCTTGGGGCATGCTTGAGCTGAATGCTTCCCATGGAATCACCATGCATTTGGCAAAACAAAGAGCTGAGTACTTGCCACCACATGGGCCGTCCGAGGTCTCCGGGGCGCAGCTGCAGAACCTTCCTGTGAGCGGGCACAGCCAGGACCACTGGCAGAGCAAAACCCTGGAGGCGCCTCCTCGGCTCACAAAGGAAGCTCTTAAAAGAAACATCAGCCCGGGTGGTATCCCCTTCGGCAGTGGCTCCCAACCAATTTCCGCCCCTCAGAATACCTCGAAGCCCCTCGGAACCCTATCCAGCAACCGCTCCATGAACCCCCCTGACCTTTTGGAACCTTCCGGGACATTCAGCAAAACCTACTGATAATACTCATGAACTCAAACTGATGGTTTGCCCAAGTGCTTCATCAACCATTCCAGGCGGAAAGCTGTTTGGCCTGTGGGTTTCAGAGGTCGTGGCTGATGATCTGGTTGTGGCGGCAGCAGCTGTGGCGGCTTTGCGCCTCACTGGCTGTCACTCGGACCACGGTAACGGGCTTCACCGCTCGCAGGCTGAGTGCAAGTTTCACGTCACCTGAGGGAAGCATGGGATACAGGGCATGAGCCGGCCAGACCTCCGACGGAGCAAGGATGAAACCCCGTTGCTTCTGCCGGTGGTTTCAGAGGCAGCGTTGCTGGAACTAATCGGAAGAGAACACAATGGAACAATACTATTGTGCAAGACCTGGTACGGCATTTTGCAGAACTACGCCAAGTAAGGAAGACATGGATATGGAGGAAAATCATCCTTTGTCCTTGAGTCTTTGTGGTCTTTCAAACTTCTACTGTAAACAGTAGACACTTTTTGAACGTCCACAGACCCACGAGCTCACTGCTTGCAACTGCTGTTGGTAGCAGACCGGGCTTGACACGTGCCTGGACATCCACACTTGGATGCGAAAAGTATTTGGGCCCATGAGTTATGAGATGAGACTACGATTGTTTTTCGGTTCGGTGACTATCAGAGGATCAGCATTGACCATGGGAGACAACGCAAATCAAAGTAACCATAGGCAAGGATGGGAACCGTGCAAACGCAAAGGACTGAGCATGTAAGCACGTTAATATGTCAAGAGCCTGCGGATCTGCAGAAGGCCTCCATATCTGAGGTGACACAGTTCTGTTGGCCGTGCCGGTGCATGGCAGACAGGCGCGCTGGGCGTCATGCAGCTTCCACACATACGAAGCAGATTCGCTGTGAAATATGACATTTCTATGAACAGGATCGGCAATTGCATAAGTAATGGGCCCTTGCTGCTTTTGAGACATCCAGAAGAGGGCACTTCCACTATTGAGCAGCCCGCAGCTCCACGGAACGCTGAAGGCGCTAGTGGCATTCTCGCTGCGCAGTTGCGGCACGCTGCGGCAACTGCGGGATGCAGTTCGACAGCTGCAGGCGTCTTCGAGCTCCGCCAAAGCCTTGCTGCTTCCAGTTAGTTCCTGATGTTTGGCCGGCAGGGCTCCAAAAGTAGCCTGTCTTCAGCGGCAGAAGTTTGTAAAGCGGGGGACCAGGATGCCGGTTCTGGTTGCGTCCGGTAGCCTGGGCAATGAAGGCTGTGTTTTGCCGGCTGCAAGGCAAGGCCAGAGCCGCCTCCATGCAATTTGGAGAAGAGCTTCGCGACCGTTTGTGGCTAGGTCCATTCAGTGCTGCGCTTGTAGAACTTCGAATTCCGCAGATGCAATTTGAGAAGTCGGGGGTATCTTTGATTGACCAATTGCCCGTCTGATACTTGGCCGGGCATTAGAGCTGCTTGGAAATGAGGTGATAGATCTGTCAACGCTGAAGCCGATGTGCTGCTGCTCAGATTTGATGAAAGGCGCAGCACGATATTGGCATGCTGCAGTTCGTCCCATGCTGCAGTTGGAAGCCGTGTAAAATCAGCCTGATTCCCTGGATCAGTCCTCAATCTCATGTCCTTGCATGGTTGCAGCGATTCTGGTTTTCCTTGGAAATCCTGGAATTGACCGCTTCTCATCAGCAAATAACTAAGAACATCTTGAATTGGCAAGTGTGATAGGTTCATTCACAGGATTTGCTTGACTTGCCACAGAGGCACTTCGACTCAAGATGCTTCACGCAGGTGCAGAGAACATTTGGAGCTGAGCTACAGGCGGGTCAATGACAACCAGGCAGGATGGACGCCTGCGCCTTGCGGAGAGCCAAAACGGGTCATGGAGTTCTTGTTTTAGAGTCTGAGATTGCTGCTTCGTCTTGGCTAAAGAAGCTCCTTGATACTCAGGAAACCCGCGCGCCCATTTTGAGGTCTGGCTTTTTGCCAAGGCCCTGGAGGGCATCCTCCACGAGTACGAAGGTCAAGGAGCATTAACTTCACCAGTTTCTTATGTGCCCACGAGAATTGTGGACCAGCCGAACGCATCCTGTTGTTTATGGGTGCTCATGAGAGGTGGTGAGCAGGACATTTGCATGTGAAAGATTCTGCCCGGCTCATCTCTTGCGAGTTCTGCAGGAGATGACCCGGTGTCGGCTCTCTCTCTGGTGCCTCCGCCCCTGCACAATGCCATGGTGCGAGACTTCAACTGCACAGAGCATCCATTTGAGGGCCACTCGGCTGCCTGTAGCGCTGGAACTGACCATCAGCTTGGTCTAATTGTCTCTTACTTTAGTTCAACCAACTATAAACAACAACTTTGTGAGGTTTGAACTGGAGCTTAGCTGAGAGCGTGGATCCTGGCGTTTGAACTTATGGACAATCACAGCCTTAATTGTCCAAGGTGAGGGGCCTCTTAGCTGCAGCTTGAGGATGGAGACACGACAGGTGCTTCAATAGGGTCATCATTTGCAACTTGCTGATCGAGACAGGAGGAGCCCTCACATGGTGTTGTCTTTTGCACGACGTTTTACACATGCTTTTCCAAATTGACATGCGCAGTTGGCAACTCGCGTCTGTGGAGATCGAAATAATTCTGCATAGAGCAGAGGCCTGCGTGCAACATCACGAGCTTGGTGCTGAGGAAGCTTCTCCATGAAGTCGTTCGTGCTCGCTCAGCATCCCTCCCTGAGGCTGGACTAGCTCAGCTCAGTTGATGAGTTCGTCCAAGCCGGTAGAGCAGATTCAGATCTTTCTGCCTGCAGAGTTGTAGGGCAAAGTTGATCGCCGTGCACTGAAGACAGGACCACGTGGCTGTCGAGGAGGACGGCCCAGATGGCGAAGTGGTTGTGTCCTGGATGGATCATATTTCATTTGTGTATCCTCGCAACAGTGGAAGTTGGGAAGGTATGGTATGCAACACACTTGGGCAAACAACTATGCAAAGGACAATGTCAGCATCCCCTGGACTTACGCCCGCCCGATGTCCTTCTCTGACGTTTGCTCCTATTTGTCTATGCATTTAATAGTGAATCACCTCAAAAGTGGTTGGTGGACATAAATCCTCACCTAAAGGATGCTCACCAAAGGGTCCCTAATCAAAATTCACACCCATTTGTTGCCTGCTGGATTGTTCACGGGCAGCCTTTGGTAGTAAGGCCACCAGCTACACAGCGCTGCTGCAGCGAGCGCAGTCCTTTGCAGAGTCTTTCCGGCGAATAGACGCAGGTGGGATGTGCCTAATTGGAGGTAACTCTCTTTTTGGTTTTGCGGCAAGTTTGGATATCGTCTCAGTGTCTGAGGGTGCTTGAGGCACAACAACGTCCAGCGTCCTGGCAAGCAGATCTTGAGTACACCCCTGTGGCATTTTGCAGGCGACGGTCCCGTGGCCCTGTGGCTGCCCCGGAATTCCACAGCAGTGACGCTCGCTCTGGCAGCCATGGAGGCTGGAACTCTTTAAGTCGTTTCTGTGGAGGCGCGGCAGTCAGGCACCACTAGTTTGGCCACATCAAGGGCGCCTTGTGGAGCGCGGGCTTGGGAAGGGAAGCGGGGAGTATCCGCAGCAAAGGACGGCCTGTCTTTGATGAGAGTTGTACGTTAGCTACCAAGATCAAGGGTTCGTGCGGAAGTGTGGAACATGGGAATATATATTTTTGCGCTTGCAAGGCGGGCTATGGCTACCTTCCCTGTGATGAGGGCTTGCCGGTGCAGCGCGCAGCTGGGCGGCAACATAATTTTGCAGTCCTGTTCCAAAAGCCTTCAACTGCACCGCTCAGGTACTGCATATGCTGTCCACGGCAGGCGCCAGCATGCTAGTTACCTCAGCATCGAACAGGGCGCATTTGGAGGTGCCTTGCCTTCACTCGTAGCTTTGGCCTTGCGGGCCAACGGCTGCTGCTCGCAGAGTGCGCATTTGCTCGCTGCCCAGGATGCTGCTCAGCATGCTGAGAACAATGCCTTGGAAGGCCGCCCGCCCTCTTGGTTATTGCTTGGCGGCTTGTTGACATGCCAGCACGCTTTTGAACCAGGCTGGAATGGCTTGGCAGTGGAGGTCGATGAATTGACACGTGATGCGACTCGACTGCATCAAGCAGGAATGCGGGAAACAGCTGTCTCTCCCTGGACTGGCAGGCGCCTGTTTTCCGGTGGCCCAAAGCTCGGCCAGCCAAAGGCGTGCTGCCTAGGCAAGAGTGAGATTGGAGCTGGAGATACTTTAGCAATTGAAGCTGATTGTGTTTTGCAAAGCTGCGTCCTGCGTCCCATTGCCAGGCGCTCAGAAGATAGGACGCAGCAGCTGGCTTATGCTTCTTTGCTCAATTAGGCCTGTGCCAGCTCAATATGGATCTGCCCATTTCAAGCTTGAGCCATCATGATGGTGCTTGGGCTTTGGACTTTCACTCTCAAGCATGGCCAAGGCAAACTCTTGCACGCCTCCACGCCTTTGTCTGAGCCCAGGTCATTTTCACCTCAGGCTCCACGGGGCGACCAAAGGGTGTCGCGGTGAGCCACCGATCCATTGTCCACCTGATCGCCGCTTATCTGGATTAGATGCTCATACACATGCTTGCAACGATCTTTCGCCAGTCACTCTGAGCTGGCTGGCTTGCTGTTTGTGCCAGCTGGCGGCAATGCTGGCAAAGGAATGGGTGAACAAAGTCTATGACATCAACCAGTCCGACGTTCTACTTTTTGTGACCTCCATGGGGTTTGACCTCTCCTGCTACGATATCTTTGGCACACTGTCAGCGGGCGGGAAGCTGCTCCGCTCAATGCTTTCACTTCACATGTCTGGTTGCTGATACATGGCTTTGCAGCGTCCACTTTGGAGCATTTGTTGAGCCCTTCAAAAGGGATTCTGACCAAAAGGGCCGTGTCGGGACCCTGGAGCTGGCTTTCGAGTGGCACGGATTTGGATTACGTGACCTCCGCGTGGATTGCATCGCGTTGGGCCATGGCGTTAGGGGGAGGAATCCGTGGGCCGGTGAGTCGAGGATCCGCGTGGTGCGGCCGGGCGCGGTGGGCGCAGCTCTGCGGCTCGGCAGCTTCTGGGACTCAGCGCCGGCAGTGCTGCAGCTGGAGACGCTGTGAGGGGCCCAAGCCGAACGGCCGAAGGGCTCGAGTGTCGAATGCGGGCAGTGGCCTCGAGGTGCTGAGGAGTTTTCTTTGTTCATTTGTGGCATTATATTTGTATGTGAAGGACAAATACGCATGTCAGACAGGTGAAGGTGGCGCCAAACAGTCCAAGCAAGAACCTGTTGTGTACGCTTTGGTTGCCGTTGCTGGACATGCGACATTCCAATGTCTTTACCTCTGGCCTCTCATTGTTTCTCTTTGCCCACAAAAACTAACTACAGCTAATTTGGACTCACGCTGCAGTGCTGTTCCTGCCACCTTCAGAGAAACTTATGACTTATGCCTGCAAAGTTGGAGCTGATGCCATAGCAGGGAACATGTTCCAGCCGACTCCCTCAGAGAAGCCAGGTGTGCGGGCTTGGCGCTGCGCACCGTTTTCCTGAGCGGCGACTGGGTGCCGCTTCAGCTGGCCGGGCCCCGAGCGTTGCAGAGATTTGGAGATGTTGTCCCAGAAGAGCCCGCGCTGGGTGGTTGCGTTTTCCGGGTTCATTGGCGTATTTGGATTAGCATAGGCCCCACTGATGTGTGCACCACCACCCACACACACCCACCCACCCACCCACCCACCCACCCACCCACCCACC